CAGGCGTTGCACCGCCGTCGCCAGGATGTGACGCTATGCGTCGCTCTGGCAACGGGGCTGTTTGGAGTCCCGTTGCCAGAGCGACGCATAGCGTCACATCCTGGCAACGGCGGTGCAACGCCTGTTGCCGTCTCCCGCGGCAGAGCTCCTGTAAAGAATGACGATCCCTCGCTGTGATTCAACGAGACTTGGCAGCCCTCTGAATCAAAGAAGCTGTGACAATGAGTGCTTAGGTTACATCTCATTTCATATACCGTCTTCTTCAAAGTTGCTTCAACTTCAGTATTCAGCTTGAATGCTATTTAAAACATTCTTAATCTGGAACTGGTTATACAAAAACACTATACCCTAATAGCCAACTTCTTCGGCAAGAGTTTGTTAAAATACACACGTACCCAATCTTTAAATAACAGCAAGAAACAAAGAAGGAGGAGAAAATTGGATTTATACCCCGCCCTTCACTCGGAGTCTCAGAGCGGCTTACAAACTCCTTTCCCTTCCCCTCCCCACAACAGAAACCCTATGAGGTAGGTGGGGCCGAGAGAGCTCTTTCCAGAAATGTCTTTGAGAGAACAGCTCTGGCAGAACTATGGCTTGCCCAAGGTCATCCAGCAGCTGCAAGTGGAGGCGTGGGGAATCAAACCCGGTTCTCCCAGATTAGAGTCCACGCACTTAACCACTACACCAAACTGGCTGATCAGTATTCTCTAACAACACAGGCTTCCAATTCAAATGGGGTCAGCAAAGGTTCTCTAAAAATTGTTGCCAATGTCATCATTTTAAAACAAACTCTCACGTTAATTACTTACAGCTGCAAACCCATCTGTACATTTAAAGAACCAGAATACTATCTGACAATGAAATTATTTCAAAAAATCATGTCAGTACTCTTATCTATGCCCTATATTTTATAACAAAAATTAATAACTCGAACAAAACAAGATAAATCAAGATTCTGATTCAAACTAGTCAATAAGAACGTAATCTATAAATCCTGATGCGGGAGCACATCCAGCCTGTGCTAAAGGCGTTACACTGGCTGCCAACAGCTTTCCGAATCCGCTTCAAGGTGCTGGTTTTGACCTTTAAAGCCCTATATGGTCAGGGACCTGTCTACCTGAGGGACTGCCTTTCCCCGTATGTTCCCCAGAGAGCACTGAGATCTGGGATGCAACATCGCCTGACCCTTCCTGGCCCTAAAGAGGCCAGGTTGATAACAACTAGGTCTAGAGCATTTTCGCGAGCTCCCCAGTGAGATCCAGGCCCTGCGAGATCTCCAGCAATTTCGCAGGGCCGTGAAGACGGAGCTTTTCCGCTGGGCATACCAGTGAGAGTGATAGTATGCCAGCCAAGCCTGCTGACCAGTCGTAATGATTTACCGAACCGCTTTTATTTATATTTATTGTACTTATGTAAATTATTTTATGGATTAATGTTTTATATATGTTGTTTTTATGAATGTTGTGAGCCACCCTGAGCCGCTTCAGCGGAAGGGCGGGATAAAAGTTGAATGAATGAATAAATAAATAAAAAGCTTCTTGGCATAATAATATTTTTCTGGCATCATTGTGGTTTATACTTAAAAATTACACTTAACAATTATACTTAAAAATTACACATAAATGTATGTCTTCAATCACATGCCCGTTTTCAATAAAATGTGCAACCAAAGATGTCTCTATTATTTTATTCTTAATTCTGGATTTATGCTCCATGAAACATAGTTTAATGGCACATACCAACGTACAACAACTGGCATGGGCACATGACGACATATACAACTTGTGAGTTGCAGTTTGTAGAATGTGACAATTTTATGGAGTAAACTCCCTGCAGATGATGAAACTTCTTCATCCATTCTCCATTGTTAAAGAACATATGGAACAATTGCCATGTTTAAACTGACCGATAATGCTCAGCCTCTCCTTTGGTGTATGTGTAATATCAGACCTAACAACCTCATCTCTAATGCTCTTTGTTTTCCTCATATATATGGTGTTTTACTGCACCCTGGAATATGAGAAAAAAATATGCCAATATTTATGGATTATTCTTAACAGAATTTTCCAAAGCAGTATACTGAAATACACAGGTGATACTGTGAATTGTCTGAGGTGATTTCTCTTTAAATAAAACTTTTCTTTTTACAGACTGAGCCCCAGTCTTCGCTGCCTGTACTAACTGTGAAGGGTAACCATGGTTCCAGATTTGATTCTCCATTTTAATACATTCCTGATCAAAGTCTCATACATCTATGGAATTTTGCTTAAGCCTTAAGAATTGCTACCCTACTATGTTGGCATGAAAATTTAATAGTTGTATGAATCGTGTCGATCCATTCAAAAATTCTTGTACCTTAGTTTTATTACCTGCTTCTATATTTGAAAAATGTATTTTATTAATATAGCTGATCCTCATACATAACTATTCATGATATTTGATAATTTTTGATGAATTCATATCTTCCCCTGCCCTTTCCCCCGTTTGTATCCCACTTTATTTGAGAAAAAAAACATTACCCCCCCCCCCCAAATGTGTACCTTGCAACCGTCCCTGTACAGGGTTGCAAGGGTTATGTTCTTGATTGCAAATAATTCCTTCTCCCAAGTGGGTCATAAAGGTTTGCTATATTCAGTGCAAAGGGACTCCCTATAGCCACTCCTTTTGATTAAAAATTCCTTATCAAATCTGAAATAACTCTTCTTCAAAATAATGTCAATCAGTTCCATTAGGAAAAAAGTTCAAAATAGTCTCTGCTACCAAACAGGCTTCATCATGCCTGGGCCACCAAGGAGTCACTAGAATGCACAGTGTTCGGTCATGAATTATATTGTGGATGACACCGGGAATCAATGGATATGGGGGGACGGACGGACATGCAGAATAGTTTCCCCGTCCACTGGTGCAGAGAGCTCTCTCAAGAATGGCCCTTGAGAGAACAGCTCTGAAAGAACTTATGACTGACCCAAGGTCACACCGGTGGGGAGGACAGGTTATAAATTGAATAAATAAATAAATAATGCCATAGAGTCCACCTTCCAAAGCAGCCATTTTCTCCAGTTGTAATAGTGGGAGTATGTTCAGACTGTAACCGAACTCTCCCTCTCTTGTCCTGTTTGTTCACTACCAGTGAATCTGTAATTAGGTGAGATTGCTATAAGGGGACCCCTGCCCCATTGCCTGATTACATAACCTTGCTTTTCCAGCTAGTAGTTTTTCCCAGTTTTTCCTTCAAGGAGCCCAGAGCAACAAGGGTTCTTCCTTTCCCTATTTTACCATCACAACAATCCTATGAGGTAAGTTGTACTGAGAATGTGTGACTGGCTCAAGGTCGCCCAGCAAACTTCCATGACAAGAGTGGGAATTTGAACCCAGCTCTCCAATTCCAAGACTGACCATGCCATTTTTTTCTTAACCTAACTTCTGAGTTTTTTTTAAAAAAAACCCATTATTATTCTCCTATACCCAAGCCAGTCTTCTCCATCCCTGAGCTGTGCCACCCAAAACCCATGTGGGGCAATGGCTGGGAGACCGTAATCTACCTCACATGGCTGTTGTGAAGGTAATCTGGAGGACAAGAGCACAGTCCCTGCATCTGGGAGACCCAGCTTCAAAGTCCACACTTCAACAGTGAAGTTGGCCTGCTTACCTCAGAACAGTCACCCTCTCTGCCTCATCAAGTTTGTTGTGAGGATGAAATGGTGAAAGAGGAAAATGGTTTATTTATAACCCTATGGAAAGAAGAAAGGGATAAAAACAAATGGGCCAGTGCCTTTAAAAACAGGAATAGTTAACTAGTGTTTGTAAAACAAAATTAGAAAGTCATAGTTGCAGGGCAAGAAATGTTCAGAGGTGGTTGGCCCTTGCCTGCCTCTGCATCCTGACCCTGGATTTCCTTGACAATGTCCCATCCAAGTACTGACCAGGGACAACCCCGCTTAGCTTCTGAGGCTTGCTAACTCTGGGTGGGAAATTTGGGAACCGTGTCTATGCGGAGCAGAATCTGGAGAGCGATTTCACCTACCATCTATGGCATTCCACAGAGTCTGCCATTTCCTACAGGGGAACGGATCTCTGAAGTCTGGAATTTATTAGTTAATTCTGGAGAACTCCAGGGGCACCTTTAAGACAAACAAAATTTACTTTTGGGTATAAATTTTCGTGCCCATGGTATCTGAAGTGGGCATACCCACAAAAGCTTATATCCAGAATTGATTTTTGTTGGGTCTTAACCTAGCAGTTCGAAAGCAAGAAATTGCAAGTAGATAAATAGGTACCACTTCGGTGGGAAGGTAACAGCGTTCCGTGCGCCTTGGTGTTTGGTCATGCCGGCCACATGAGCACGGAAACGTCTTCGGACAGCGCTGGCTCTTCAGCTTGGAAACTGAGATTAACACCATCACCCTAGAGTCGGATTCGACTGGCTTTCGAGCAAGGGAACCTTTACCTTTAAAGGTGCCACAGGGCTCCAACTTTGTAACATTCACTCCAGCATGACCTTTCCGAGTCAGCGCTCTCTTGGCAACCCTTCGCTCTCCACCGCCAAAGCTCCCACTGGTTTTAATGGAACCAGATCGCACCCCGGTCTCCCCAGTCCAAGGGGGTTGGTCCTGTTTTGTTTCAAAGAGGCGCATTCATCTGTGTCGCCCTAATGATGCGATCTGGCTCAACTACCTAGAAGAATGTGTCCCTTTCCTTGACAACTCTCCTCCGCCCCCTCTCTGTAAAGTGGGGATTTCCTTTTGGGCAGACAGTGCACGCAAGTGAACTTTGTTATCGCTCGCGCTAGCGGCAAAGAATGTGCGGGAAAGTCTTGGCGTCGGTGCGTGAAGGAGAACAGCCTCTGCACACGCTCAGAGGCCCTCTGCGCCTCCTTCCCCCTTGACGCGCGGGGTGTGTGTGCGTCTCCGTTCTGTGTTGAGTCTGGAGATGCCCCTCACCCACCCACTCCCGCGCTCTTTCCTTCCCGCGCTTTGCAGCCACGCCCCCCGCACCCATACCTGAGATTCCAACGGCCAGATCCTTCCGCGTAAGCTTAGAGGAGGAACCAAAACGGCGCCGGCTTGTTTGGGGAAGCAACAGATCGGGGGGGACACGTAAATCCTTCGCGGCTTCTGATTGGCTGTTACTTCCTGCCACTCATGGGCGCCCCCCCGTTTGTGTGTTTGTTTGTTTTTAAAACAGCGCTCGAGGGTCTGGCCCGCCTCCCCTTGGAAGAGGCCGAAACTCGTGACGTGCCCTCGCGACCCGAGTTTCCTTCGTTGGTCAGAGACTGCGCATGTACCTCAGGAGAACGCCGAGGAAAGGATTTAAAAAAAAAATGGCCCTCATTGCTTTTCGCTTTGTGGGCGCTAGAGGGCGCCGTTGCGTAGCCGTCAATTACGCAACAGCCTAAGAGTCTTTATTAGTCTGGTTTGGTAGCGTGGTGAAGGTGCGATGCATAGCCGGTCGCTTCTCCAGCTGCAGTCGTGGTTTGGTTTACAGCATTTCCGGAGGCTTAGAGGCGGCCAAGTCTTCAAAGCACTGAGCAGCTGCAAATAGCAGAAAAAGAGGAAAAAACAGCAACCCATAGCAAGAAGGTTTCATAGCAAGAAAGAGGCTTTGAGCCAGGAGGAAAGGCACAGTATCAACACTTGAATAAACGGGATGAAATGCAGACATTTACAAAGACTTTATAATTTCTACCGTTATGCAGAGCTGTAGCCAAGTGGTTGCACCGCCACATGTAAAGCCGGAAGTGTGTCAGAAGGCAACACCCACCGCTCAGGCTCCACGGGACTGTTTTGGATTGCTAGGTATTGGGGGGAGGACACGTGTAGATCTGTCCTCACAGAGGAGGGAGAGCTTGTACCTGAACAAAACTTGGTATTAGAGGTGCCACTGGACTGTTCTGGATTGCTAGCTATGTGGGGGGGGGATACTAGATCTGCCCTCACAGAGGAGGGAGAGCTTATACCTGAAGGTGGGGGGGGGGCTCTGCAACTTACCTAGCTGCTTCTTGCTCCTTGTGGCCTGACTGAGGGCTGCTGGGAGCAGGGGATGGTGCTTGTTGCATGTGCCGGCCCCCTGGGCTCCTTACTGCCAAAACTCCGCTCCTGTGCGCTCCCGCAGGAAATGACCCCTGGTACAAAGCCAACTCAATGATTGAGTAGGGCAGGGGTGTCAAACATGCAGCCCGGGGGCGGATTAGGCCCCGGAGGGCTTCCATCAGGCCCGCAGTGGAACTGGCCATCTCCTGCTTCCAGTTCTGCTGCTGCTGCTGCTGCATCATAGCTTGCTTCGTCAGACTCTCTTAATCACTCAGCCATTTCATGTTTTAACCTAGACTCAGAACTCTGAGCATGAGATTTCTGTGGTGAATGTCAATAAATCAAAAGTAGGTTTGCAGTTTACAGAGATGTTTTAAGCATGTTTTTATTTTAAGGGGAAAAAAACTTTGTGTTTGTGTTGAGTTTGTATCTCCGCTACCTGGCATATACACATGGCCCAGCCCAACTAGGTCTCATTTATGTCAGATCTGGCCCTCATAACAAATGAGTTCGACACTCCTGGAGTAGGAATTGAACTTTGGTTCTCCTCCAACGGTGTGGTGTAGTGGTTAGGAGTGGCAGACTCTAATCTGGAGAACCGGGTTTGATTCCCCATTTTTCCACATGAAGCCAGCTGGGTGACCTTGGGTCAGTCACACGTTATTTCAGAGCTGTTCTCTCAAGAGCAGTTCTCTCAGCGCTCTCTCAGCTCCACCTACCTCACAGAGCGTCTGTTGTGGGGAGAGGAAGGGAAAGGAGATTGTAAACGGCTTTGAGACTCCTTCGAGAGAAGTGGGGTATAAAACCCAGCTCTTCTTATAGTCACAATATGTAAACTTTATTTGAATATATGCAAATTCTGAAACGTTTTTGTGCCTTTGCTATAACACTGCAACATAGAAAAGTCACAAAAATGTTTCAGAATTTGCATATATTCAAATGAAGTTTACATATCATGAATAGCCAGCCACCATAAAAAGGTAAAGGTTCCCTTGCTCAAAAGCCAGTCGAATCCGACTCTAGGGTTGCGGTGCTCATCTCCGTTTCAAAGCCGAAGAGCCAGCGCTGTCCGAAGACGTTTCCGTGGTCATGTGGCCAGCATGACTAGACGCCGAGGCGCACGGAACGCTGTTACCTTCCCACCGAAGTGGTATGCCAGCCACCATACTGGGGTTTAATTTTGTGAACTGCTCTTTAACGGAGCCAGTGTGGAGTGTAGAGTCTTGGACTGGGGAGATCCAAACTCTATTGCACCAACTTTATGCATCGAAGCAAAGCCTTCTGAAGGTTCCACCCTGCAAAGGAGAACAATCAGCTCCTACGTGCCCCCCGAGCATTCAGTGTTGAGGGTCCTGTTGTGTACTGGACTATGAACTATTGGCCAAGCTTCAGTCCCTGCTTCATTGTAGTGTATTCTGAAGCTGCCAGGAATACCTAATGTGTATTGTGAAACACCTAATTGGGAAGCTATGTTAAGCTTCGTCTTGAACAGGGATTGAAGTCCAAGACTAATGCGACCAATCAGGTTCAAATGTATATAAGCGGGAAAGACTCTGATTGGTCCTTTATACGCTCAACCTGATAGGTTGATAACTGTATAGTAGGAGTGGCTACATTAGCCCGGAATGTTTAAATACCGAGCAGCTGCAATGGAAAAGCTGTTCAGGCTATCAGAAGTTGTACCGTGTTAGAGAAGTGATCGTCAAGCTGAAATAAACCTGAGTTTTGCTGAAATCACTCTCTGACTATTTGTTAAGCACCGGACTTAACAATTGGCGACGAGGATGGGATCCCAGAGCGGGTAGGCAGCCCCGCTAGTCCCAACCCCACGACGGACAACAGCGAGCCGCAACTCGCCGAGGCAGAGCAGCAACAGGCACATTCATAGAAGCCCAGTATCCTGATCTGCCAGTTCTCATTGGCTGCTCCTGACAGCAGGCCAATTGAAGCACAGCAGGGTACTTGGAGGGAAAGCATTCTATTGGTCTTTATTCTGTAAATATGATTGGTTCTTACCGTTCTACTGGGCGTGGTTTCCCCAGCCTGGGATGTTTAAAAGGAGCTTTGGCTCCTATGGTTTTTGTGTTGGATCGTTCTTGTTAAATAAAGTTGAAATCACTTGGTTAAGAGCTGCCTGAGTCTGATTCACTTCAGGTCCCACAAAGTGGAACACCTGACTGAGGAGGTCGGCTTGTCCATTTTCTCTTTTCTAAACAGTTTTCTTATGTTATTAGAGCGTGAGTGTTATGTACTGAGCCTGAACTGTACTTGCAAAAGGACTTAGCTTGGGGATGCATAACAATAGCTTGCTAGGATCCTAGAATGGACCAGTAGGGTGACAGGGATCCTAGAGTTACCCAGTTGGGGAACAATGGCCCCGGTCACACGGGCCGGATATTGTGGGGGGAGGCGTGGCTAATTGCCCCGGCGTAGTTTGATCCGCGATTATGCGATCAGACGTGACAGTGGCACACCACGGGTCTTTCCCTCAGCGCCGGTGGGTAAATGAGGGACCAGAGGGGAATATTGCGCGCCGGCGCGAGGCGCGATCACACCACGGCCGTCTGGAGGCAGCCCATGGCAAACACTTACTAGTACCTTTGAGGTACTAGTTTTTTAACGCGCATCGTCGGCGGGAAGCTATGGGTTAGCCACGGGAGCACTACACTTCCCAGATGTTGCAGTGTGATCGCACCCGGAAAATCCGCCTATCATCCATCTCTTTAGCGCGGCAAATGCTACGTGTGAACGGGGCCAATGTAGTGTAAATAGCCTATAGTTGGGAGTGGGGTGTGTTTTGGGTGTAACCTTTTCAGGCATCAATACTCGGCTTCGGCCAGGGGGTTCTTGGTCTTCTTTCTCTTGCTGAATCACTAATAAACTATGAGCTGATCACTTGAATGCTTCTGAACCCAGTATATTTCAGTGAGCCTGTGAACAGTTGCCTTCCTGTGGTTTAATTTCAGTGGACAGATGAGGCCTGTAGCCACGGGGGTGGGATGATAAAGGCAATGTCCCACCCAAAACCTGTGCTGTCTCCCCAATCAGCTTTCCTCCTTCTGTAGACTCTAGCATCACTCTCTCCTTAAGCTTTAAAGCCTGCTGTATTTCCTGCCCGAACCAATCTCTGGTGGTGTAGCTGGAGGTTGAGAAAACAGGTAAGTACCTCTTTCCTCCCCCACCCCAAGGAGGGTTGCATGCATCCCCTGAAGTAAAAAAATACTGGATAAGCCCCCTCGTCACTCCTGTGGGTAGGTTTGGGGGATTACAGGACATCCCTGACATAGAAGTGGTTGCATCGTTGACTTCACACCAGTGATGCTCTAGTTTGAGGGCAAAGCTCTATGGTTTGTAGGCTAATTCACCATAGAGTTTTGCCCTCCAACCAGAGCATACCCCCGATGTGATGACGTCACTTCCGGGTGACATCTACACATCGGGCCAGGATGTCCCTGTTTGGGGGCAGGGTTTCCCCCACCAGTCAGTGGGCCGACAGTGGGCTGAAGCCCCGCCCCAACCTGGGACTGGCGGACCTCTGTCTCCCATCCCGCTTCCTCCTTTTGGATGTTTCCCCAGCCTCTCCCACTCTCTTCTGGCTCCCTCCAGTTGGGTTGCCAACCTCCAGGTGGCACTTGGAGATCTCCTGCAATTATAGTTGATCTCCAGGTGACCAAGATCAGTTGCCCTGGAGAAAATGGCTACTTTGGAGGGTGGTTTCTACGGCATTATACCCAGCTGAGGCCCCTCCCCTCCCCAAACCCTGCCCTTCCCGGGCTCCATCCCCTCCCCACATTCTCCAGATATTTTCCAGCCCAGAGGTGGTAACCCTGCCCTCCAGCTTTCCAAGTAACAGCAGCCTTTGAAGCTGCTTGGTCAGCACCATGCACATGGTGTAAAAGATCAGGATGGGTAAGTTGTGTTAGTTTGTCTATAGCAGTAGAGAAGAGCAAGAGTCCAGGAGCGCCTTAAAGAGTAGCAAAACATGTGGCAGGGCGTGAGCTTTTGTGAGTCACTGCTCACTTCTTCAGATACATCTAGAGTGGGAGA